GTGTGCTCTTCAAAGTGTTTCAGGGGTCCAGGTGTAGGGTGAGGACATTGGTTTATGGTTTAGGAATAGTAAAGGATCCAGAATCCCGGCCCATTTTGAGGCCAAGGGATCAGGGCCCTCAACCCTAAACTCTGCACCTGAAACTATTGGGATTTGACGGGAACATTCAGGTCGGCTCATGGTGATACGGCGATTGAATGAGGAGCCGAGAAAGAGACTCTTGCTGCTTCGTCGTTCCCTCGAAGACTTCCAGAACATCGCTGATTTTCGGGAACAGTTTTACAGAGGCAGCTATCATTAACAGCAGCCCCTGCTCTGATAGGACCTTGTTCAAAGAACGATGATCATATTATTGACATGCTCTCACCAATATAAAAGCATTCGCTGTGCTCATCGTCTACTATGACTGCAAATCTACCGTACCCCAAAACAGGCAATCGCAAGTCGGAAGGCGGACAGCATTGACACTCTATACCACCCCTGCAATGCGCAGAGGTCTAATGCAAGCAGCTATGCAAAAGAAGCCACCCTCCCTACAGTTGCCCGCCTTCCATGCTTCGTTTCATGGTCAACTGTATAACATGGGCCCTAGACTGTAAACCTCAAATTCAGTACCCTCCGCATTCAGCAAAGACTGCAGGCTTTGCCACATGTTTTTTCAACCTTTCTCTCCCCAAGCGGACATGGAGCCCGGGGTAGGCCCCTTTCATCTGCCATATTTACAGCAATTTCAGACTATGAAACAAGGCAAGTTGTTTAACCATGTTCTCTACAAGCCACCAATGGGGTGACGCCTGGTGACTATTCTTCTTTTAAAGCGCTTAGGGCAAGTAAGCCCTTTTCCTGAGGTTTGCCCTACCAGGCAACCTGAATCTAAATCCTGGGCCTAATCACCAACTCGACCCTATATCCTCCACGGAAAATGACCTGGAACCTTGAAACGGGCTGTTTGTAGACTTGTTGAGCCTTGAAACGGACCTATATGGGGTTCCACGTTAGTTGAGGCGAGGGTAGAGAGGTCAAGTCCATCCTTGTTGCCGGCAGCGACTGCCCCATGCCGAAGATGATCGGAACCTGGGCTGGCGTTGAACAACTCGTGCCAAAGAATAAGGTAGGGATAGCTAGAGGCGTCACAAATTGGAGCTCTAAGAGGCCCTGTGGGACAAATTGTTAAGGAGTTATCAATTTCGGGATGCGATCGAGATTCTAGAGGCACAATTTTGAGAAACCCTAAAACAAAGCCGGACAATACCAAGAACATGCCAGGGTTTCCTCTTCTGACCTCCACCCTGCACAGCCCAGCACGTACCGCATGCTCATCTTGCATTCCCGTACATCCTCAGAATCCAATTTTGAGGAACCGGGCCTGAAATCCAAGCCCCGAGCCTTAAACCCTATACAAATCCTGAACACTTAAAACGTCCGCAACAATAACCTAGACGCGACTGCTGAAGCGCCGAGACCCACAAGGAGGCAAGGCCTCCGCTCTCTCAGGGAGAGAGGGGGTTTCAGGGTTTGGGGTTTAGGGCGGGGAAGGTGCAGGGGCTGGCGGCTAGAGATTCAACGTATGCGGTGGTGTAGCAGGAGCCACTGCGCATGTAAACCCTAGCCACTCTCTTTGACTCTAGACTTTCTTAGCAAGGTTTTGGACGGCCACTGCTAGGCATGCAGTGGTGATCATTACGGGATTGCAGCGGCCACTGCCAGGGACCACATGCAGATCATCTTCACAGACTCCCGCAAGGCCCCAGAAGTGTATGTGGATATAACCGGCTTCCATAGGGATTGTATTGAGAAATCCGCTGGTGTGGGGTTCTTCGTATGACGGCCTCCTGCCAGCACGGTCGGCAAACCTGAACGGCCAGGTGGATAATATAATTTTTGGTCGTAAGAGTCTAGGGCTAAGGGTTGGCTAGATTCGATTCCCTAAAGTAAGGAAAGAAGTGGTAATCTACATGGCATAGAAACCAAGCATCTGCACCTGCCCTGTTCGCAGATCCTACACCGCGCCTATTACGGGCCAAGCCTGCTAATTGCCATGACTGTCCGCATGATTGCTTCAAAGTTCTGGATGGCACCCTGTAGCCTGCGTTTGACGTCGTGGGGCCGGGCCCAAGGTAGTACAAAGGCCATCAGGGAATCAGATGAGAAGGGTTACCGTGATAGCATTTTCCAGCAGGGCTTACGGGCTTTCCTGGTGCGTGACACGAGATCATTGGGCTCGAGACTAGGTCTACGTCTAGGGATTTCGACTCTCTCTCTCTCTCTCTGGTGCTTACTTCATCTGACATGAGATGAAACACTGAAGGCTATTACACATAAGCAGCCAGGTAAGGAATCTGGGACTCCGTTCCCTCATTCCCTACGAGGCACCCGGTGATCTTTCTTGGCAAGAAACCATTGAATGTTGCTGGGGGTCCGCAACAGGTTCGGTCACATGCTCTGTAAGGCACTCCACGCAGAAGCAAAAGGCTGTGCAGATGGTTGTGACGAGAACGGTCTAGGATTGAAGAGCCGTATGCTCGCAGTTTGAGGATTTCTTTGCTACATGGTTTGGGGTTCTGGTCCTCAAAAATGAGTGCGCACAGACCCGCACACCGCGCGCACTCGCCGTCGTAATTCTTCACTTTTTCTTCATGTTTCCATGAGTTGCACTGGTTCATCTATTCCACCTATTCGTGCTAAGTACACTTGACTTCTAATGGGACACGGGACTGTCGCAAATGAGGATCCAGCGCAGGGATCCAAAACGATCATTATATTCCGAATCATACGGACCTTGCAAAAGAGATCCAAACTCTGAAGAACTCCTCAAGCTGGAGTTGACCCAGAGACCTTCAATGATAGACCCCGAACCTGTGAATTCTAAACCGCAAGCCCTTAAAGCATACACCGCAAAACCCTACAGCCACCGGCAAGTGGCATGCCCCAGAAGGGTGACACCATGGCCTCTGTGAGCGGATACAGCCTGACATGGATAGTCTCCCTGGTCTTGGTAGCGAATAGCGAATGAAGGAATTAGCTATAGGGGCTCCTATAAGGATCTGCTTCCTCATTCCCTGTTAGGCACCATGCAGTACTGTACCAGGGGGATAGAAGTAGGGATTCCTTTTCAGGATTGCATGGCCCCAGGGTTTAGGGTGAGGGTTCCTGCGGGGGGGTTTTCTGAAACTGCTTAGATGACGTTGTAACACCATAGTAGTCCAAGTTATAGGCCACTTGCAAGTACACATGAACCACGGAAGTGATTCTAGAGGGCATGCAGGGATCTCTATTCAGGATTGTGTATAGTAGGTTGTTTTGAAAGAGCTCCCAATGGAAATCGAAGCGTCCCAGCTTGACGCTTTGTTGGTTTCAGGGGTGCACTGTGATGGGGCTTCAATGCAGGGATATCAGTAAGGAACAACCCGAGCATCAACGTTTTGAGTGAATATTCCTACTGTCTGATAAGTCGCTATAACGGTTCTAACCGGTGTTAAATGGGATCTCCCTAGCTATCAGTTTACTTACCTTTTTCGTGCCGCTAGTATGGGGCATCGCTAAAGGCTGTCTCTTCGAAGCCTGGTAGACATCCGAAGCTTGATTTCAGGCCTGCATGTATGCGAAGCCCAGGAATGATGCATGATCACAGGCAGGTCGGAGTGGAAAGCAAAGTTGTGCTTCCTCCCAAGCCGAAAGTGAAAATCTTGAAGCTTTTAACCCACATTGTACACCTGAAGCCTGAATCCTCCATACCTCCGCCTCAAGCCGGAAACCCAGAACCCTGACACATGCTTGAAGCGGAGGAGCCCAATCAACAAAGTCACCACGTGGGCCACTTCCGGGCTCTCCGGGCTCCTTCTTTCAAAAGCGGTTCTCTTGCGTCAGGTGGGCATAGGGTTTAGATTTTAGGTTGAGGCTTAGGGTTCCAATCTGCAAGTTTTTTCACGCCCCTTCAGTATATTGAGAAACCCCAGTGTTCGCCAGTCTGCCAAGAATCTTGTTCAAGAATGTCGAGACCATCAGGTCCACGTATGGAGTGAGAAGGTTGGCGTTGATGCAGTCGATGAGGTTCATGGACCCCAACACCAGCATGGTTCCTCACATTTGCTGGGCTGCTGTGAAGAAACTTCTGTAAGATACTAAAATGAGGAAACCCCATTGTTGGCTACATAACCATAATGTGGTTACTTAAATTATATTCCTGCACACCAAGCCAATACGTGTTTCTTGACATTGGGGCACCCTCCGGGAGGATGTGCTCAGAAGCTTCTGCATTAACTGTCTATGCTTTGGGATTGAGTGCTTTCAGTTCAAGGTTGCAGCAAGATTCTGCAGTTCAAGCGCGGCTTCGTGTGAGCTTCCTCGCCCGGCGCAGGCTGCACGGACATCGCTTGCACCGTCATTGCTCTGATGGAAGGCTAAATCCTAAAATGAAATCCGCAATTTCTAAGCCAATGAACCCTGCTGTACCCGAAAGAGTTTACACTAGGGCTCTCCTAGATGTCAGGGCCGCATCCAGTACAGCTTTATAAGGAACTATCAGCTCTTCACAGAAACATTGTTGCGGGCTCTTTCGGCTACTTTCTGTTTCCCCGTTTTGGCCTTCTGGCATTCAAGCCTCAGGGTGGGGTCGGGGTGGAGATCTTTCTCATTTTCATTCATTTGCTGCTAGATTGCTAGATCGTATCATAGCTGGTGCTCAGCAGGCACAAAGACCCACACCCCGAACCAGCTGGGGATTACCATATGACAAAACCGTTTACAGAGATTCCATCCTTCATTGCTGATCATACGATGGTCCAACGATGCTGCACGTGTGGCTTGACTGCACGAAATGGCTACACAAGAACAACAGCTCCTTGCGGATAAAAAGCAAGGCATCTGCACCTAGTGGGCTCTACTTCCGTGACTGTGAGTCTTCCTGCGGAAGCCCTGCAGCAAATTCCTCGGCGCTAAGCTCATCCCCAAAACCGGCACAGTGCTCGGTGAAATCCCCTCGGTAGGAAACCACGCTTTGCCTCTGAGAGCTCAGAGTACAATACCACAGCATCCCATTCCTGGCTGGTTGCAGGCAAGGTTTCAGTCGGGGCACCCTATTAGCAACAACAGGAATCAGGACTTGGTAGGGGCAGTTGTAGCAGCCTGATTAATTACAGTAGGGTTTTGGGATATATCATACTTCCGCTATACCAAGTGTTTTACGCAAAAGTTTCTACAGTATTGCGGAGTGGCGCCCATGTGACGCGCTGACGTTGCCGGGGGAAGGTCGGTACAGTGTTTTCCCCCGTGTGATACATTTGGTCAGCCGAAGGAGAAGAATGGATCCTGTTCAGTAAGCCAGTCATACGGAACCCTCACACTCTTCAACCATAAGCTTAATATCAGAAATGATAATAATAGCAACAAGCTTGATATCAGAAAATGATAACAATGGCAACAGCAGCAACAACAAGACAATACTCATGCATGCATGCTTCCCGAGTGGTAGACAGCAGGAAACTGGAAGATGCATGTTTCAACGGCAACTCGTGGGTGTTAGTTCTTGCCACGCGGTAGGTATACCGGCGTATTCCATCACATTGGGGAAGCCGTCTCAGCCCATAGAAAATATTCCTAATGTAGTACCAATATTCGTTGGAGTATAGGGTGGGGGAGGGTTACCCTCCCCAAAACCTATCAAGTGCTACCGTCGCACAAAAAGAGGCTGTTGGAGGTCCGTGTTGGCTTCGGGGAGGATATTCGCTGCTCAGCTCAACTCTGGCCTCCGAGTAAAGCTGCCGGCGTCCTCCATCACACTCGAAATCCTGCCACGCTTCTGTGGTTCTTTGGAGGTTGGTAGAATAGGGGTAATTGTAAGCGTCTTCGTTTGGAGCATCCTCGCGCAGCACTTTGTAGTCCTAGTTGTGCCACCTGGAGTTCAACGTTTTGGGCAGGGGAACTTGCCACACCCCTGAGGGTCTCTCGCTTGATTCTCGATGCAAGCGTTTTGGCTGTCCATTACAAACAGCTCAAAGGTTCAGGAACCAGGATCATGTTCCATCTTGATAGGAACAACCGACAAGCATGGCCCATAGAGCTACTCGGTGGAGGGCCCATCTCTCCAAAGTTGTGAACCAAACCCAAACCCAAGCAAGTAACTGAAATCCTAGCAGGTCCTCTAAGCCCACAGCAAATTTGGTTAAAGGCCTGTGCCCTGAACCCCCAAACCTCAAAATTACTAGACCCTAAAGCCCCCATCCCCATCCTTACATTACCAAGCTTGATCCCTAACCTCGAAGTAGGAGCCATCCAGATCATCCAGCCAGTGCTCCAGCGCCCGCACAGCGCATCTGGCAGGGAGACCCGTAATCTGCTCTGCCCACCCACCTTCTAATCATAAACACGTTACCCAATATACTTGGGTGAATGGGAGTATCTAGCGGTTGGCGCCAGAGGTAGGCAGTGCTTAGCAGTAGGGGAAATGAAAACACTCCAAAGTGTAGGTCCCCTTGCGGGACAAAGGATTCCCGAAGTCTTGTGCACAGGCAGACAGCCTCCCTGCCGCTTCCAAAGCCCTTCCCTATAGCGTTGAACACCCCTCCACCCCCCTGAAGTTCAACATGATCTGCAATCAAATTGCGCAGTGTCTTTGGGTGGTTCAGTGAAGGAAGACTATCTTCAAAGGTTTTCAAAACGGAGCATTCAATGCCAGGAGACAAGTTTTACCAATATCATGCCAGACATTTTTGTCTAATCCGATACAATTGCTAAACAAGAAATCTAGTTCTATCACTGCCATAGCTGTTTATTTAGCCCCCTGTACTAGCAGGGTAAGGGCGCAAGGATGAAACCAACGTAGGGCCTATTTGACAAGCATAGGGTTCTTGGTATATCGTACTGTTGCTATTATAAGCTATATAAGGGTTTAATGTAGTTGGCCAGGTGTAAGACACATGCCAGTTGGCGAGTCCCCGCTGCCCTCACATGACCCCCTCTATATATCCAATATCCTAATGTATCAGAGCAGACCACACGGGCACATTCAATACTAGTGGAGTGGAGGGGATTACGCTCCTGCAAGCCGAGCCTGAGAACTGTGACGTTGCAAAGGTAGCCAGGGCCGGCGGTGAAGATCAACTCATGCTCGAACCTGAAGCTCTGCGGTTGGTAGTTGGCAATGAAGGACTGGAAAGAAAATGGAAACTACTTCTTTGGGATTCTGTTCTAACCTGGCACCTTGTTCTGAGTGGGAATCCTTCGCGGACAAGTATCCAGTCTTGCCACAGATGGGGCTTGGTTATGCAGACTTCGAAGTTTGAGGAGTGGTGGGTTGAGGAACCAACAGAGAGATTCAGGGTTGGGACCACATCTGGGTTTGGGAGCCCCCGACCTCCGGTTCATTTGGCAGATTCGACGCGCCCAGAATGGAGGTGGCATTATTTTGGGGGCTGTGTTCCGCAACCTGCGATATCTCTGCTCCCAGATCTGCTCACTACTGACAGCAACTCATAAGACTTGACATTCCTACCCTTGAAGCTTCGCCTTTCCCATACGCACTCATCACAGGTGCCTAAAGAACAAGCACCAAAGTAAGACTACAAACGAAGATCCTGCTTTAATTGAAGGAGAACATTTCTTCCAAAACGCGTATCCCGTCCAAGGGCCAGTCCCTAGCAGTAACGATCAAGGAGAACAGGATATAAACTGCCCCTGCCTTGAGTGTGTACCTATCCAGTCTAGAGCAGATTCCAGAATACAGGAGCGACACAGGGATCCAGGTCTTCAATCAAGGAACATTCAAACAGGTCCTGACATCCCAAACCCTAACTCCCAGACTGCTCTCCCCAGACTGCTAGACCCCAAAATTCCAAAAGGTTTCCAAACCCTAATCTCTCAACTCCAGTCCCATACACCTTACATCTTCCCTTTTCCAACGGACTGCTTGTAACCTGGATGACATGCACAACGCAGGAGCTCTTACGGCAATCCGCGCCAATATCGAATCTACGTGACCTTAGGGACATGAAAAATCCTTCGCCCCTGAAACTGCGGAACCTAAATCCCTAAGCTGCAGATCTCTTAGATCCCTAAAACCAAAATCCCATAAACGCCGAAATCCTCAAAACCCCAAACTCCTTGGTCCCATCTAAACCCCCTAGCCCCATCCTTACGCATCCAGCCGCATCCTGCGGCGGTCGGCTGCCAGCTCGGCCAACCGCAAGTGCTGGCGGAGAACCTTCAGACAGGGCTTAGCATTTTAGGATGCAAGGTCGACATAATCATTACGCATTCAAGGTAGGTTCCAACAACTGGACCCAAACATGGCATCAACGCATAATCCATGTTCTCCTTAGGTGCTTATAGATGCTGGTGTAGGACCTATGCTTGGGGCGCACTTCTCTTCTGTGGGCTAGGGAGTTGGGAGTTTGGGGTATAAGGTTTAAGGCTTCCAAGCTCCTCCTTTGCGGGGTTGCGCGACCTTAATCAAGCATTCGAGCTGTGTGCTCAAAGCCTCCTTCAGCCGAGAGACGTTGAGAGCCGCAGATCGGCGGAAGTCCAGCACGAAGTCCTGCACTCGAGGAATTTTGGGGAGCTTAGGGCGTATGAATGATCGACGGCATGTAGGATTTTTCTTTTTCGTGCGGTCAGCGACTTTCAAGCCACAAGAGTTCTCCCAACCTCCAACTCCCTGAACTATGTTTTCAAATCTCTGACTGCCTCAAACCAACAAAACCCGACTGCGTCCTCTTCAGGACACCCTCATCCTCCCAGAAAGTGCATCCCCAAAATCTACACCTCCCCCCATCTACAAGCCCTGAAGCTTGCCAGCCCCCACTTGCCACAGACTCCTCCACTTCGCTGGGGGACCCCATGTCCTGAGGTCCATGGGATTTCATACCCTAAGCTGAAGGTCTGGCTGTAGAATCTGGGGTCTGGCCTCAGATTCTGACCCCACGGAAGGTCCGAGGTTAGGGGCTTGGGGGGTTGCTTTCATGACCCAAACAGCGTCTGCTGTATACGGCCATGACTGACTGGGCCCAATATGAAATCCTAATGTCACTGTTCTGCGATGTAGATGCTTTGCAAATGGAGGCCCGGTAATGTAGAGTAACATCTTTTGACACAGAGCAGTCCCTGCCGAATGCAGCCCCAAACTGTGACTAACAGCTTGGCCATAAAACAGCGAAGTAGACTTTTAAACCCGGAGCCGCGGTCAAGAGCTCGTGCGGATCAATGCCTTGTCCTGAACATGCCGCCTATATTGGGTTTCGCACTATCATGCATCTTGTCCCTTGTTGGACTGGCTCTGTGCAATTCGGGCTTCTAAAACAGCATTTCACCATTTGGTGCGCGTTATGAAAAGCAGACCTTCAACTTGAGAATTAGTCGGGTCCTGATTTGTGTAGGGGGGGCCTCCCCCCCCAAACAAAAAGGGGTCCCTACTTAATGGCGGGGGGGGGGGCACCCCCAAACAATCCATGTTTTTCGGTTTTGAATAAAACTCAATAGGATGGATCAGGATCTGCTCGGATCCTAGGTTTGAATTACAGTCAATAGGATGGATCAGGATCGGGTCGGATCGTAGGTTTAAATCAAATTACATTCAATAGGATGGATCAGGATCGGCTCGGATCCTAGGTTTAAATTAAATTCAATAGGATGGAACAGGTTCGGCTCGGATCCTAGGTTTGAATTAAATTCAATAGGATGG